AGACCATCTAAGGACTTTGTAAAGCAGAGTTCTATGAACTAATGCAATGACAGCTATACCAATTATTTCCAGAGCAAAAGCATTTTCATTCATTTTACTTGCTAACTGCCTAATGGCAGGTCTTTCATGAGTAGCAATAAATCTGTTTCTTGCCATGGTATACTGACAGCATATAAAAAACAAAAAATAGTCTAGCAGCGCCTTAAAGACTAACAAAGCATGTACATGGTATCTTGAGCTTTTGTGGGTACAACCCACTTCTTCAGATGACCGGAGTGTTAGAAGTCCAGATCCATGAATAAGTAAGGGATAGGCTAGAGTGGGTGGGGCGGGAAGGGGAGAAAAAAAAAAAAAAAAAGAGAGAGAAAAAATAGCGAACAGCAGTATTCCTCTAACAATGGGCCTTAAGTGTTTCCAATAAAGATCTCAGGAAGGCTGCTGCAAACTGGCAGACCAGCAGGTAGGCTATGGCTGTTCACCTAAAAAGCACATGAACAGGTGACAAACTCCATTTTGGGAGCTTCGGGGGTAGCCGAGTTAGTCTGTTACAGAAAAAAAACAGCAAGCAAATGGTCTGGTAGCACTTTATAGACTAACAAAACATGTCGATGGTATCACGAGCTTTTGTGCGCACAGCCCACTTCTTCAGATGACCGGAGTTATGATTAGGGGATAAGAAAACTCGAAATAAATAGGAGAAGGGAAGCGGGGGAGGGGAGGAAGATGCTCTGTCGCCCACCCCCCTACCTCTATACATAATGTAGCAGGAGAAAGGGTGCTAAACCTGAACAGATAAAGATCCAAGTCAGTAGATGGATTGGTAAGGTACCTTTGCACAGGGAGAACAATGGAATTCCCTCCACACAGCCAAAAGTATAAAAGGATCCTAGGGGCTCCTTCATCTTTATTTTCACTACTGCTCTTCACTTCAGAAGCATCTTTGCTATGGAGAAAGGGCCCAGAAGGACTTGTTGACCCATTCTAACAGAGGATATACTCCAGAGACTTTCCATCTCTGCAAGCCTACACCAGGAACTTTGTGAGTGGGGTCTGTAATGATTTCTTTAACAATTCTACTCCCAACCATTTCTTTCAATTTTAGAGCCTAAAAGATTAGCACAGCATGCTCTCTTGGGTAAGATCTGAGGGAATGAAGCTGTTCCTTTGGGATTGGAAGAATCGGTTCCAATTCGGTGCGATTGGTTTTCATAACCTCTCATCAGTGTAAGATGCAGTGCTGGTTATGGCACAGATAAAGCTAGAGAGTCTAAGGGGGTTGTTTGTGGGATTTCTTGCTGGCCAGAGTGGGAGCTGAAGTGTTCTTGGTGACTGGTTGGGTGTGCCTTAGAGCAGCCCCAGTCTTGGGCCAATTGGACCTTCTCAGTGGTGCCCCATTATATTACAAGAGCAGAAATACTGCAGTCTCCCTGTCCTATTTGATGCTGAGACTGCTGCCAACAACAGTACCAAATGTGAAGGATGTGTAACATGGACACCTCTCTGTGGAACCTGGATGAGAATCAACTGCACACTGCTCTACTCACAGAGCTTCCTTCAGTTCGTGAGTCTACTGCCCTGAACAAACACACACACAGTTGCAAGCTTCCTCGCTCTTCAACCTGACCTCCCAGAGCCATCAAGCCTCTTGTCTCAGTCCACTTCTCTCCGCTCTTTGATCAACTTTAAAATCTCCTCTCCATGCTGGCGGACTCAAAGTAGCTGGAAGACAACTCTCCTTACCCAGACAAGCTCACCTCTGCAGTGTTCTTCACTCTTGCTTTTATGAGAATGTTTTCTTTCAAATAATGGGCAAATATAATTTCTGTGGACTCTTTAAACTGGTGAAAAGGGTCTCAGTGCCCTGCCAGCAATTAATTTCAGGATGTGGGAAGCGAGGTACATTTCATACCCTTTACATTTTTGCACTGAAGAGAGCCTGCAACTTTTGCTATGGGCCTGTCCACCCTTTCGTTTCAGTTGATGTAACAAGCCTCACTCCAGGGTTTGAAAAAGCCCCCCCCCCCCAACCCCCCACTAACATAAGTTACATCAGTTTAAAGAGGCATCTCCTGTCAGCAGGAGAGCATCACAGCTATATCATCCTGCCAATACAGCTGCTGCTGCTCACAGGAGTCCCTAGCCCTGAGTGGAGTAATTATACCAACAGGAGAGCCCTTTCCCATCAGCATAGCGCATCTTCACCAGTGTAGCACAGTATAAACTAGCCCTCTGACTTCAGACTTCTGTACCTCCCAGTACCATTGGGCAAGCCTGGTGGGGGAAAGGGTCTATTTTGAAAGGATAGTGCCAATCCACTCACTCCACACACTTGCTGACCAATCTTGCTGGAAAGCTGTATTGCCTGCACAGTGCTGATTAGTTGACTGGAGTATCATCTACTTGCTTCCTCACCCACTGCTGCCTCTGAGAGGCAGCAAGGAGTGGGGGGAGAAACAGGAGCTGGTGCTGGGGGGAGCTTCCTTAAAAGTCTGCTGATCAGAGGCGGCGGGAGGGGGTGGAGAATAGGGGAGGCTGATGCAAAGCAGCCCCTGTCCATGGGGGTCCCAGCAGGGAGCTAGACCCCACTGCGGACAGGGGCTGCTGCTGCCAAGCAGCCCAGCTCACGGCAGCCCAGGCTGGCTGTGCACAGGGGCTATTCCGGCAGTAGCCCGTTTGACGTGAACAGGGACTGCTGGACTCAGAGCACAAGCCGGGACTGAGCAGTGCCGGCTCACGCTGGTGCAGGACGCTGCTGCGCCTCTGCATTTTAATTGTCGTAAGAGCCCGGCAGCTCTTACAACATTTAAAATTCAGAGCTGCAGCACTGGTGGCTCCTGGAGCAGGCACAAGCCAGGACTACTCAGTCCCAGCTCAAGCCGGCTCCTGGAGCTACCCCCCTGCCGCTCTGCAGAGCAGTCCTTAGCAACTAATTGTGTAGTCAATACAAATTGTATCAACTACACCAGTGGTCTCCAACCATTTTACACCCAAGATCATTTTTTAAATGACAGAACAAGCCAAGATCTACCGCCCCGCCCCTTCCTTGAAGCCCCGCCCTCTCTATTCTCCTCCTCTCCATCACTTGCTATCCCCAACCCTTATACTGCTGCTTTTTTCCCCCCAATTCTTCTGTAGGAAGTTTTTCCAACATTTGACCTCTCTACACTAGACCAAATGTCAGAAAAACCCTTCTTTTGGAAGCCCCCTTATTCCTTGTGGAAAGAGGAATAATGGTGACCGAAAGATCATGTTTACTCTTCCACTAAAAAAAGTGGAAGAACAAACGCATCCCTGGATGCAGAAGAGTTTTTCTGGGATATCTCCGGAATCCTGAAAAACTCCTAGCTGTACCCTCGCTGGGTTGAGACAGGATATGTAGGCGCTGGGGTGGGAATGAGGGATTTGGGTGTGGGAAGGGGTGAGAGGTGCAAGCTCTGGGAAGAAATCTGGATGCAGGAGAAGGTGGATAAGGGGACACTGGCTCGGGGAGGGGACACCAGGCCGGGCAGTGTTGGGGTCAAATGTAGGGTTAGGGTACTAAGCAAGCCACAGACTTCTGGATGTGAGGGGTCAGGAATTTGGGTTGGGGTACGTGAGGGGCTCAGGGCAGGGGTTCCAGTGTATTACAGGCTCAGATGTAGGGTCTGGGGGAAAGGGGAGTGCAGGAGTGTTATGATGCTGTGGCCAGATGGAGGCTTGGCCCCAACTGGGGGTTTGTTGGCCAGGCTTCATTTTTTAAATAAAATACTATGTAAAACACAAAAAGTTTCTGCATTGTCTTTATTTCTGAGAAGGGCAGGGAACCTGTTTTGAGTCAGGGGTCTCTGATGCACAGAAAAGTCAGTTGGAGCCACACAAGGGAGATGCCAAAACCCCCCTCCAATCCCTCCGCCCCTACTGGGGAAGGGTGCTAGTGGGTGCTTTGGCAGGGGACAGGGTGCCAGTGGGGGTAGACTTCTGCGGCTGGAGGGTGGGGAGAGGGAACAGGGGGCCATTGTGGGGCAGAGAGTTCCCTGCACCTGCCTCCTCCCAGGATTCTCTCCCCCCCAGAGGGAAGCCAGCGCACGCCTGACCCAGGGCCAAACCCCCTCTGTGCTCGACTCACCCCTCCTGCAGCGCGGGAAGCCTCTGCACTCCTCCTCTGGGGCCGACGCCCCCTCCCGCAGAGCACCAGGCACACCACAGAGCTGTGGGAGGGGAGCAGCCAGCGAACTTCCGGAACCCCTGGAAGTGGCACAAAGCTGCAGGAAGGACTTCCGTCCACCCCGCGGGAAGCCAGTACTACGCTGGAGGTAGGTAGTGGGGCATCGCAGGGGTGAGGGGAAAATGGCGGGTGGGGTGGGCCCCAATGCCTCACGATCAACTGGTCAAGGCCTCGCGATCAACCAGCTGGCGACCACAGAACTACACAATTAGTCAGGTAACAGCAATTTAACATCCTTAGTGCTGACTGACTGAGTCTACACTGACAAAAGTGGCACTTATTAATTCACCCCAGCACAGCAATGCAAGCGAAGATGCAGAAAGCATTCAGGGGGGGTTTCAGGCATTGCCTTCACTTGTCATCGAACACGTGAAGTGAAATGAAGGTACCAGAGCCCTCCCCCCGCACTGGTGCTGCATGCCATGAATTACAGGTCACACTTTCGATAACACACCCATAGACTGAGTTTTAGATTTCAAGCTATAAGGGCAGGTCAAAGCAAACATACACAGCATTCAGTGACGCAACCTTGGATGAGGTCCCAATGCCACGTGTAAGAGTTTAAACCCTACAACCTGAATCAACATTAAATAATCAATGGAAAGCATCGGTAGGCAGGGAGCTATGCTCCACCGAACAAACCTTGGTGTAAACTCCTGAACCACATCTCTGGAAGGCTCACTGCACCTTTTCCTGGGAACAGATTGTCAAGTGAGGCAGAAAAGGTCAGAAAACATTACTCATCCAGATGCCTTAGTCCAGTGGTAGTGCATGCATCACAACTGGCACAAGTCCATAGACCAAAGTTTATAAAGCTTTATTGAACATTGTGAACAGCTGTGCAGTGAACAAACAGTACAATGCTCTGGAAGTTTCACAGCTGGTTTTAGTTTTAACCCCCCTTGAGAGAGCAACAACCATTTCTGCTGCTCTGCAGTAAGAGAAGCTTGTATGGAAACAAATGGATGGCAAATTGGAACATAACCTTGAAAACATATAAACCCAGTGTATTTCAAAAACTGGTTAAGTTTTTCACAAGCAAACATTTGCCATAGCAAGGAACACCATTCCTTCTGGGAGGTGCTGCTATGCACTGGACCAGAAGAGCAGGAAAGAAAGCTGTACAGCAAGTACCACTAGGGAAACCTCCCATGGGCTCCCCAAAACCAGCCTGCCAGCAGAGAACAGAGATCCCAGGACTGCTCACTAGCCCTTTATTACTCCCACCCTCCATTGCACATTAACAGTGGTTGGTTTGCTTGGGACAAAAGAAAATGCACAGGCAGCCCCGGCCTGCAAACACTGTCAGTTGAATGGATACAACCATATGCTATTTTGAACCACCCCAATCATGCTTACTAAAACTCTGAACCCTCCCTCTCTGCTTTCACCTCACTACTCCAGCTAGAAATGCTGACAGTGTTAAACTAACAGTGAAATGAAAACAACCTCAAACACCACAGCAGAGCATGCTTCGTATCCAGAGTCAAGACCTCAGTAAACTGTGGAAATACAGCAGAGAGGGAGGCAGGCTCCGATGCCTGTGAGAAGCGCTTTAGACACAGCTCTGTGACAACGCAAAGGTTTTTCAGTTCTGATCTGGGAGAACGCAAGTTGTTCAGAAAGCACTTGGGCAGTGCACATTTTCAATTTGGCATGATGAGCAGGAGGAGATGACTCAGCAGTCTCTGGCTCCAGCAGCTTTCAGCCAAGAGCATCTGTTAAGTTATTGCAAATCCAGAGCAATGAAGACTGGCTCCCCCGCAAACAGCAGCATGGAGAATCTTCTCACTGCTTCCACGGAATTGGTGGGCCCAATGCTTCCAGAGACAGCTGGGGCTGTATACAGACCATCGAGAACCAAACATGGATGACCAACACCATGCAACAGTGGGAGAGCTGCAACAGGTCCTTCTTCCACCACTTCCCAGAGGAGAGGGCCAGTGTCCATTCCCAGAAATAAGGGAAGGGAAAATATATAACTCTTCTGCTTCTAAAAGCAGGTGGCAGTGCCAGATTCACACAGTAAACAACGGACGTCAAATTTCATACGCCATGTGGGAGGGCTGATCAGGAATTTACCGCTCTAGTCCACACACACGTTATAGAAAACAGGCTGCTTGTACTCCAGTCACATGCCTAACAAGCCCTCCCTCCCCCCAACCTCACCCAAACCCCTTCTTTTAAAAGCAAACCCAGCGCTGTTAGCAAGCTGGAGGATCCTTTAGGTACCAACTATGCTGGGATCGTGAGCAGATTCAGGCAGCTGGGAGCCACTGCAGTGATACAAGAAGCAGTTCCCCCAGCAGCTGTAGCAGATGAGAAACAAGGCTGCCAGAAAGACCAAGGCACAGATTGTGCATGGCTTCCGCTCCAGGAGAAAACTCAGCAGATAGAAGCCCATGAACATTGAGTGACTGAACCACAAAGCTGGGTTGAGGGGCTTAGGGATGAGGAGGACAGGCAGTAACCACTGAAGGCAGTACATAGCGGCTGGCAGGCAGGGACCCAGGGACAGCAGCAATCAGAAGCGCTCCTAGAACCTGTTCCTGCAGCTCCTCAGGCGAGCAGGATTCCCAGCATTGTTCTGTACCGTGAAGATAAAGCTTTAAAAGAACAAACAAACAGTCGGGGTTAGAAGAACATTAGAGAGGCCAGTAGCAATTCTCATACACAATCATATATTTGCTCTCAATGTACTGTACCCTGACAAGCACAGCTTTGTTCTAACATGGTATAGTTAATATTAGGAGTTCCTGACAGTGAGATTTGAGGTTGCACTACAGTCGCCCAGGGGAAATGGTGGAAACACTCATATATAACGCTAGGAAAAAAACCCATCAAGAGGTGCGCAACCCTGCACTGACAGGGAGATGGACTTGGTCTAATTTCCTGGTCAACACTTCTATTTCCCAAAGGCCAGCTGTTACCAGTGTCACTGGCCATCCCAGTAAAAACCCATCCCTTTATGCACAACGAGAGGCTAGAGGGAAAGCAAAGGATTCCATGGAGAAAGACTGGAGCCGCTGGTGGAGATTCCATGGAGATGACTGGAGCATTTCTAAGGATGGAGATTCTGCCACCTCCGTGGGTAACTCATTCCAGCGCTTCACCCCCGCCCCTAGTAAAATAGTGTTTCCTAATATCCAACCTAAACCTCCCTCACTGCAACTTGAGACCACTGCTCCTCGTTCTGCCATCTATCACTACAGTACTGAGAACAGCCTCTCTCCATCCCCTTTGAAACCTCCCTTCGGTGCTTAAAGACTGCTATCAAATCCCCCACTCTTCTGTAGACTAAACAAGCCCAAATCCCTCATCCTTTCTTCCTAAGTCATGCCCAGCCCCTCATCAATTTCACACAGATGCAGGAACTATAAAGACGGTCCTTGGAAAAGAAGTAAACAGCAAGAATTAAATTGTTTCTCTCAACAGCTTCTTAATAACTCAGAAAAGGGGAGACTGGGGCAGAAATCAGAGAAAGATGCCTTTGTGGCATTTGGACACATTTCTGAAAAACTCAGATCCTGAGCCCATCCATGTACCATCTCCTCTCCACACACCTGGGCCAATTAAAAAGTCCCCTAGTCCCAAATACAGCATGCATCTTCTAATGCTGCACTGACAACAGAGATCCCAAACATGCAACATGAAATTCAAGCCATGTGTAGCTAACCTCTGAATGACGACTGCATGTACACTACACTATAATGCAGAAGATGAATTCACAATGTAAGCTAGACAGGCACATTCTGACTGGACCTGGGCCGATCTCAAAACAACAGCGTTTAGAAACACGGGATTCCTCTATTGGATTATCCTGCTAAAACCATGGGGAAGCAGCATGTTTTGAGAAGACATCTGAATTAGGGATGTAAAAGAACGCTTAATCAGTGAACTGGTTAAATGTGGGGTTTGCTTAAAGTTTAACTAGTTAACCAACTATGCGGCATCTGGGTGGGGGGGACCACTCCAGCCTGACTGGAGTAGCCCCCAGCCTGTGGGGTTCCTGCTCCCAGAAACCTATGCTGGGGCTGGCTCTTAGTTCCCAGTCCCCAAGCAAGGGCTGGGGCTGCCACTGACTCCCATCAAACAGCCCCTGTCCATCAAGCGGGTCCCCTGTGAGGCTAGAGAAGTGTCCTGCCTCAGGTGGGGAGGTGCAGCACCCCCACGATTACCAGTTAACCTTTCACATCCCTAATCTGAGTGGAGAGGGTGGCCAACCAGAATACTCAATCGCACTGCTTCTATTAACAAACCAGCGGTAGCCACAATGAGCAATCTGAGCAGCTCCAGCTAGAATCTTTAGCCCTAGACAGCATTTTTCATCCAAGGTGCTCACAGTACTTTAGAACAGACAGCATCTTACAGACAGGGCAAATTGCTAGAAAGGGAGGATTTTGAGACTTACCCAAGATCACACAGCAAGTCAGTGTTAGGATTAGAGTACTTGGCCTGGTTCTGACCCCTAGTCTAGTACCCTGCTGAAGCAAGGTGGTGCAGTGAAGGAAATCTCTCAAAAACAGTTAAGAGAACAGTTTACATTCACACAGCACCTTTCATCTCACAGTGCCTCGTAACTACAATATACAGCACAGCTGAAGGGAATGGCAGCCAGTCAAGACACAAAAGGGCAGGAGAAAAGTATGACCAAGGGCAACAGGCAAACCCCTCCTCTTAGAAGTGCCAGGGGTTCTAATGACCATGCACAGCAAACATGTTCTTGGTTTGTAACAGCTTATCCTATGGCATGGTTTGCTCTGTGTCAAGGGGAAGAAGGGCTGAGCCAGGCAGGAACTTGTGGTTGTGGGGGAAGGGAGAGAAAAGAGAAGCTGAGAAGATAAACAACATATCCCTTGGCTAAAACTAGATGGGATTTCCTGGCTAGGGGAGTGGGGATGAGAAGGGAAGAAGGGGCGGGTGAGAACCACACACACACACACACACAACACACAGCCACAAATTAAATGCTTTCCTGCCAAAAGAAAGTGAAGTCATAAAACAAATTAAGAAGTTCCTGGGCATGTGTAAGTACCTGCTCCACCAGCTCAAAAGCTGGGAGCACATTCCAGCTTCATACTCAACATTCCTCGCATGCTACAAGCTAGAGGGTGTATTTTAATAGTGATGAAAGAGGAGCCAGGCCAGCGGCTCCACCTTTAGAGCATTTCTAGAGAAAGCAGGGGGTGATGGGCAGAAGGTCTGGTGGAGAGGAGAGAAAGCACCC